AGCTACTACGGGAGCTGTAGTTCCATCCCCAAGTTTGAGTTCGTCCAGTGATTTCTTCATGTCAGCCATTACGTTGTCAACCCGATTGTTCACTTGGTCGATTCGGGTTTCAGCTTTCTCGATTCGGGTTTCAGCTTTCGCGATTCGGGTTTCAGCTTTCGCGATTCGGGTTTCAGCTTCCAACAGGCGGTTGTCATGCTGAGCAACCCTATCCTTCACCTCCTTTATCTCCTTCCCGAAGGTAGCGTGAAGGTCCTTCATGAGGAGCATCTGCTCTTCCAACCGACGGGCCTGTTCCTCTTGTCCGTTCCACAGCTGCTCTTCCAAACGACGGATCTGTTCCTTCTGTCGGCGAGCCTGTTCCTCCTGTCGGCGAGCCTGTTCCTCCTGCTGCTCTTTCAACAGACGGGCCTGTTCCTCTCGTCCGCGCTGCAGCTGCTCCTGTAGCATCACCATCAGAGCACCTAAGTCAGGTGGTGCAGATGCAGGAGCTACTGACGGGCCCGCAGCCTCCGTGGTTGGCAGTTGGCCCTCCGACGTCTGCGGCGTTGCACCACCAAATCTCCTCTGGTCCGTCTCCTGCTGGCGTTGACTTCGGGTACGGACACCCTCCGATTCCTCCTTCGGTAAAATCGGCATGATTTGATCCCACTTCTGACACCAATTGTTACGAGCTTGAGGTTCGTGACAATAAAAACTGCCGATTGAATTACCAAAATTAACACTTTAATTTTCTTTACACCGAATAAAACTTAAAACACTAATAATTAATCACACTGATTCACTTTATTTCGCTCCGAAGCTCCGCTTGTCTCGCCGAATTCAATACTTCTTCGATCGCATCTTGCAGCGCCTATAAATACACATTAGCACCGAAACATCCAGAATATTCAAGTAAATACACGCACCAATCGACAAGGCGCCGTAAGTTCGAGCGTCGGCTTCTAGAAGCTTAGTTCTTCGTTTCGATACTAGATGGCGCTGTCGGTTGAAAGATTAGTGATGTCATTTTCTGGAAAGCTCCCCTCGCTCTCCCCCCGACACTAGATGGCGCTAGTGCCGGGTACATGACGTCAACTTAGGTGCACAACATTGCCCCCTCCTAAGACATGCTCGTCCCAAGCATTATCGGCCCCATAATAACGCGCCAAGCGATCCACATGGACGATCTTAGGAGTCCTTCTTGCACCTTTCTGTATCCGGTAGGTTACATCGTTGATCCTTACATGACGTCAACTTAGGCGCGCAACAATATTGTATATATTTCGAAAAGGCCTAACCGATTATCAATTAACCGAACTCGTGATTTTTTTATTTAATAGAAAACATATTAGCATTTTTAAGTACATTTAAAGAGTCCAGTATAACACGAAGAAGTAAAATATTATTATCATAACTTGAAACTACATGTTTCCTCAACCGACAAACCCAAAAATTTTATTGGTAAAAAAGGATATTTTTCACTTGTGTCTACTAAACTAACGGTAACAAATTAAAGGAAGAGAAATATTTATTGTTACAAATATTATAATTAAAATCTAATAATACCTTAAATATTATTATAGCAAAAATATTGCAATTTCACTTTATATGTTTTATGGTAACAAGCTGTGAAATTATATTTAAGCAATCTTAGTAAAAAGGATTAAATTTATCTTATTCTAATCGAATTGTTTCAATCACGCCTAATAGTTTTTTTTCACTTGGTCAAATCGTATTCACTGTACTGTATTATGTAAACTTTACACACTATATGTGGCAGCTAGAAGATTAAAACAGGTTGCCACTTATGAGATTAACACAGACATAAGATGTATTCACATACAAATTTATTACGAATTATTAAAGAGGAATAAAAGTCACTGACCTTGGTTCATAGTAAACTCACTTTAGCAGTCTTCTTTGCGTATACTCCAAATCGACTTTAAGACAGGATGTCTTGCGATTACGTGTGGGTTGTTTCATCCCACTTCTGAATCTGTCAGCTTTTCTCCAATAAAACCACGACAACCCACTTAGTTAACTCTTTAACCACTATATTCGTTGTTTAATTTCACTCTTAAATTGTATATAATACCTTATAACACACTATAGTTTACTTTCAAAAGAAGACTATATATTAATTTAACTTTACTCACAACCTGTAGAATCAGCTTAGTTCACAATAGACTTAACTATTATAACCTTCTCAGCACCACCGTTCGTAATCAACTACCGCGAGCGTCAAATGTACGCGCTTTTATATTTTGACTCAATTCAAGTATTAATGTAGGTAGTTTGAAATAGATTCATAGTAATATTAATTGTGAAGATTACTAAGTAGTATTGCATAATGATCATTTATCTAATAATAGTATCTAGAATACTTTTTGTATATCTCAAAACTTATCGAGTACCCTACGAATCTATCTGAATGCATTAAAATAACAATTATAAAGCCACTGTTTAAGAAGGAAAATAGAGTGCTAATGGAATATTATTGGCCCCTTTCACTTATTCCCGTTATTTCGAAAATGTTTGATATATATATAAGTATATATATATATATATATATTATGGTCTATATAGTTTTCTCATCTGGTTGGGTTCTATAAATATATAATTATAAATGAAAATGAAAAGATAAATATACATAAATATCAATAACATAAAATAAATATAAAAGTACATAAATAAATAAAAGCCCAACCAAATGGAGGCCCTCGGCGGGGGAGACCAAACGGCCGAGGGTTAGGGGGAAAGGGAAAGAAACCGGCGGACGATGCGGGCGGTATCGAGGAGCACCGCCTTCTGCATTTGAACCTGGAGCGGTCCGCCACGTAGTCCCAACCACCTCAGATGACCCGAGAGGCTGACTGGGATTAGCCCGTTTGCAGAGACGACTACAGGAATAATTTCGGTCGGCAGACCACCCCACATGTCGGTCACCTCGTGAGCCAGGTCCAGATATTTTGTTTGCTTGTCTGTTTCGGCTTTCACGAGGTTCTCGTCATACGGAATGGTAATGTCGACCAAAAATATCCTTGACTGTGCCCGGTCCATCAGCACAATATCAGGCTTATTCGCAAGAATAGTCCTGTCTGTGATGATGGCCCGGTCCCAATAGAGCCTAGCGCGATCATTTTCGAGCACGGCTTCCGGCAAGTACTTGTAATACGGCAATTTCCGATCCACGAGACCGTATTTCAGAGCGAGCTCCTGGTGTAGAATTCTGGCTACTAGGTTGTGCCTGTGCAAGTACTCAGAGTTAGAAAGCGCCGAACAACCGGAGATAACATGCCTAAGTGACTCACCGGGATGGCGACAAGCTCGACAGATGTCGACGGTGCCATCCTTTAGGATGTATCTCCGATAGTTGTTGGTCTTAATAACCTGATCCTGTATTGCACAGAGATAACCCTCGGTTTCCCCGAAGAGATCACCAAAGCGTAGCCAGTGGAGGGAGGCTACTGTGTCTACGAAAGGCTCATGTAGAGCCTTGTAGAACCTCCCGTGGAGCTCCTTCTCCTTCCATACGGTCTCCCGGTCGGAAATGCTCTGCACTGCCGGGTCTTGCCATTGCTCGTTGGCTAAGGATAGAGGGGTAAGTCCTTTATCACAAGAAATGACGTCCTTATAGAATGGATCATCCGATCTCGCCAGGAAGTAATCACGGAGGCTGCACACTTCGCGATTATGCATGGTGAGCGCGCTCAAGAAGCCACGACCACCATGCTTCCGCGGCAAGTACAGCCTCATTACCGACGATCTCGGATGATGCATCCTATGGGACGTCATGGTAGTGCGGACTTTTCTATCCAGGGCGTTAAGTTCAGTCTGAGTCCACCTGAGTATGCCAAAGGTATACATGAGGACAGGCATGACCCAGCCGTTATATGCGTGTGCCTTATTCACACCGGACAAAAGGCTGTTAAGCACTTTGGTCAAGCGTGCATAAAACACGTCGCAAACTGACTGTTTCATACCAGCCTCATCGATACCGATGTTCTGTGACATACCCAGGTATCGGTATGTTTCAGCCTCGGAAAGGGTTCTTAAGTTGACGGGCATAGATAAGTCTATGCCCTCAGAGTTAGCAACCCTTCCCCTTTCAACGTGGAGGACCGCACACTTATCCGTCCCCAGCTCCATTCTAATAGAATTGCTAAATTCACACGTGATGTTTAGCAATTCCATAAGATCCATAAGACTGGAGGCGAATAATTTGAGGTCATCCATATAGAAAAGGTGAGTCACTTTTGTACCTCCTTTCCGAAGCTGAAATCCCCTCCCGGAGCCCTCCAGTAAAGTACTGAGAGGGTTCAAAGAGAGGCAGAACCAGATTGGACTCAGACAGTCGCCCTGGAATATACCCCTTCTTATCCTTATGCGGCTTTCCGCAGCCGTCATCCGCTCGCCTAGATGACAGAGGATCGTACTCCACTGCCCCATACACTGCTCGAGGAAGTCTCGAACTGTACAGTCAATCTTGTACAGCTCGAGGACCCTCTTTAGCCATGTATGGGGCACCGAGTCAAATGCCTTTCTGTAATCTATCCAGGCGGCGGAGAAGTTCCGACGGTTGCGTTTCACCACTTTGCCAATGACCGCGTCAATGAGGAGTGGTTCCTTGGTTCCACGACCGCCGCCCCGATATCCATTTTGAGCGCGCGACATCACCTGATTTAAGTCCAGGTGACGAGCGATTCTTGCGCTCAAAATGGATGTTAGTGTCTTGTATATGGTCGGTAGACACGTGATGGGGCGGTATTTGCTCGGGTCTGTGGCTCCCTGATCTTTAGGAACCAAATGAGTGATCCCAGTAGTGAAGCGGCTTGGGAGCGACTTCTGGTTCAGAGCCTCTTGAAACTGTCGGGCGAGCACAGCGTGACACACCATGAACCCCTTCAGCCAGTAGTGATGCAGCCCGTCAAGCCCCGGACTTTTCCAGTTCGGGGCCCTACGGACCGCCTCAGCTACGTCATCCGGCGTTATGATGACGGGGTCCATGGGCGTAATACCCGCACACTGACTCGCCACAACTTCCATCCAAGAGCCCTCGTTGTGGTTTACGGGCTCTGACCACAGGCTACGCCAGAATGCGACCGTGTCGGGCATATTTGGTGCAGGGCCCGTTCCACTTACTATTGGTCGCTCCAATGATTTATAGAGCCTCTTCTGATCACTCTGGAAGAGACGATTCTGGTTGAATCGTGTCGACCTCTCGGTATATCGCCGAATCCGCTTTCCCCAAGTAGCTATTCTTTGCTTCAGGTCGTCTATGCACTCCGTCAGTTTTTGCATTATATCCGGCTGAGACAAACTATTTGTCCCAGCAAACGCCATCCTGACGGTGCGCACAATCCTTGGCCTGGTATTGCCTGACCTGAAGCATATCAGTCTGCCGATGAGGGCCCTAGCCTTTGCGATACGTTCTTCAATTCTTATTCTCCAGGCTGGGATAGCACTACTTTGTCCAGTAGCGCGTCCAGCCGTGGAAAGTTTGGCACCTATAATACGGCAGACTGCCAGTGCGGCGCCAAAAAGAATTGAGTCCGTCTCGCAAAGGTCCCGGCTGGCTTCCAAATAGGTAACCAGCATTGGGTTCAGAGCCCTCACGACAGCCCGATTCCGCTTGCTTAGGGCTAAGCGGGGAAGTCGCGGTCGATTTTCGAGAGTCGTACTGCGCGTTTCCACAATCGCCTCTTCCAATGTACTCCTCGTTTGCTCTAGTTCCAGTTCCTGGGTGACTGTTCCATCATCGTTTGAATCAACCACAACTGGCGTATTCACGGCGGCATCCACATTTGCCGTTTGCTCAGCAAGTTGTGGCGCCGCATCCTCAGCCGCAGCATTTTCACCCGATGAAGGAACAGCCTCACGTCGTAGCCGTTCGAGTTCGGGGACATCAAATGTATTTGAGCGCAAGATATACCGAACTCGGTCTGCCAGGTTTTGCTCGGTGACGGTTACAGATGGCTCCAGCTCAGCAAAAAGTCGATGCATCCTTGCCCGATACGCAAAACCTCCAGTTTCTCCCCCTTTCGCCCTAAAATACGCCCGCAATGCGTTGCTGTTCATCTGGGTTGTCCAACGCATGCGGCGTACTCCACCAGTGGCGGGTGCCGATTGCTGAGCCCGCGAAGACCCTGCCGACACCAAGCCAGCTGGTGGGGATGATGGATGCGAGGAGCTGCTGGGTGGTCGTGCAGCACCTCGCGCTCGGCTGGCGGTTCGCATGCTGTCGCGTCCAGCGCCAGCTCCAGACGCGCCCTGGCGACCTCCAGGCAGCGGCCCTTTGCGCGTTCCATTTGATTCCATCATCCATTTTAGGGCGTCATTTAGCGGGGAGACGCCCAGACCCGGCGCCGTTTCATGGTTAGGCCATGTGCACAAGCGGGCCTTGGCACCTTCAATTTTTTCCGAGGCACGGCACTAACACCTCTTGGCAAGGTGCTGACTGACTGCGCTGAGGTAGCGGTTTTGTCACATAACCGTTATATCAGCGGGCGATGGGGTCGTCACTTCCCTACGCCTATTTATTATTATTATTATTAGTGTGTTTTAAGTTTATTATTATTATTATTATTAGTGTGTTTTAAGTTTTAATTGGTGTTCGGTAATTAAAGTGTCAATTTTGGTAATTCAATCGGCAGTTTTTATTGTCACGAACCCTAAGCTCGTAACAATACATTATCAATGACAATGTGAAAATTTGATGTTTTGTGGACTAAGACTCAAATTTTGATATTGTTGAGTTAATCTGAAGTATTAGCGGGAACTTGACCGCCAGCGGATTGCTGCTCCTGTTCTATCCTGGTTTTTTATAAGTAAAAGTGGTGAAATTTTGTGTATTATTTGTGTACACATGTGAAAATGTATTTAAGTTAATTAATAAGTAAATTAAGAAAATAAAATAATTAATAAGTGAATTAAAGTAAGTTAATTAATATGTTTATAAGTAAGTGTTTGATTGGCAATATAAATTTCAGATTTTTTTATCCGCTTAGACCTTGATTTATTATAACTGTCCGTTGTGTTAAGCTGTCATCAAAATTTTCCAAGATTTGCGCATCAACAATTTTAAAGAGTTGCGGAACAAAATTCAAATCAGACTAGCCTTGAATAAAACTATTATTTACGGATTTTATCGCGTTTAATTACTTTTTTTTTATTATTATCCCTACGTTTCGGGTGCTTTACAGCACCCATGGTCACGGGGGGAACTGAGATGTTTGACGTCCCAATGTCATTGTTAGCCCGGCTACTTTCAGTTTTTGAATATTAATTTTTGGTCCGATTTACGCAAAACGAACAGTTTTTGAGTCTTGCAGTGGTATGCTTGGGTTTGGGTTTAATTTTGTTAATTATAGGATCCCAAGCAGATGGCAGCACCCAACCATCTTCTCTATTGAAATTAGGATGTTTTTTAATTTCAATAGCCTCACGTATCATCCTTGGTGAATCGGTGTTCTTTTGCGAGGACTTGTGGTTTATTAAATCTGATGTAATGGTGGGGACGATCCTGAACATGTTCACAGACTGCAGACTTCCCGGAGCGTCGGTGCTTCACGTCAGACTAGCCTGTACGGTGTTAAGTCCTTGACTGCTATCATTTGCGATTTTTTTTGCGCCCGAAGCAAATATGGGCAACCCTCCGAAAAGCGGGGGAAGGAGGTGGGGAATGCTCATAGCATACCACGCAGCCGGCTGCGTGGTTATGTGGAGACTTTTACCCACTAAACCCCACCTTTTAGGGACTGGCTTAATAGTCTGACTAGATCTCTAAGCCGTATCGAACGCGACCCCCCTTGGGTGAAAGGGGGGCGCTAGCGGCGAGTAGCCGCTGGGAAGAGTTGCTGCCTAATTAAGGCAGCTTACGAATGGGATGACTACTTATATTGAGTTTAGAAGGTGTTGGTGCTTGGTAAGTGCGAGCAGACGGTCTTGAGGGGACTGAGAAGCACGCAGTTTGCGTGCTAAAATTGCAATCTCTCTTACGTCGATATTGCGGATAGCAGTGTGTACTGTATCAACGTTATCGGCGTAAGAGGGTTCCGCCTGATGTCGGGGCCCTATTGGGCGAAGGTGAGGAGGCCTATAGGGTCCCTGAGGGGGCTGATATAGGTCCTGAGGTGACTGGGAGTTGCCCTGAAGGGGCTTTTTGGATGGGAGAGCCGGGAATGTACGTTCATTGACCGGTGGCGGAGCTTTTTTGACAGCTTTGTTGCCGAGATTGGGGCGAGGCGCGCGAGGGCAGCCTCTGAAGTTGGCCGTATGGCCGATCTGTCCGCAAAGGACGCAAGCGGATGGGCACTCGGTATCACGGGGCCGAGGACACTCTTTCGAGCTGTGCGGGTCTAGGCACTTAACGCACCTGGGAGGGGCTGAGCAGTTGGCCGCCGCATGCCCGTAGAGTTGGCAGCGGTGGCACTGCGCCGGAAAACCGCGCCTATAGGGGGCTTCGACTTTGATTCTGGCCAGGCCGCACACAGTGTGTACCTGTCGGAAAATGTCTCGCCTCCGGCACGTTGGACAAAATGAGGAGAGCAAGCGAGTACCTCTTGCCCCTACTGCTGTGCATCTTGTGCACAGCCTCAACCGGGAATCCTGGGACTTAAGGTCCTCCAGGATTTCCTCGTTGGTGAGTTCGAAGGGAACTCCGCGGAGGACAGCCCTGACTTTACGATCTTCAGGGAGGGAGTAGGTGTGATAGGGCACACCTTCGGATGTGAATAGTTTGGTGATGTTTCTAAAGTCTTCCATAGACTGTGGAATGATTTTAATTGACTCACCAAGGTTGGTGGCTTGGTCATATTTAAAGCCTGCGTCGTAACAGGCTTTGGAAAGTCTAGTTAATTGCGCCTTGTCCCTGAGGAAGACAGGGGGCGGGACTTGTTTCTTTGTGGTAGCGACGGGGGTTGCGGTGGAGCGAGCAGGCGCGGGGGCTGCGGTGGATGGAGCAGGCGCGGGGGCTGCAGGGGCGGGAGGTGCGTGAGAGGTCGCAGCGCGTTTCGCACCACGCTTGGATTTCACTTCCGTAAAGGGGGTCGTATCTATAACTGATTGATCGGACATTGATGAGTCCCAGGAGCAGCTACTGGATGAGGAGGTTGACGTAGGAGCGGACCTCTTACGGGTGGACGAAGTTTCAGACACGGTGTCCGAGTTCATGGCTTCGGAGTCATCCTCAGCTAAGAATGACTTGACAACGGGCGGAGGGTTGCATGCCTGAGGGGCAATGGGGACATGAGCGGGGGAGACAGCCCTGTGGAGGAGGGTTTCGTCAATATTGACGGCTAATCCCTGACTTTGGCAGAAATGACGGATCACGGCCGCAATCACGCTCCCAACGTGGTTCATATCTATGACAACAGACATGTTGATTTGGACAGGGGGGGGGGGGTGACGATTTATTCTGTTCTGAGAAGAACAGGGCCTTGTGTAGCAGATGGGGAGGACTGACGCTCTATTCCGAGAAGATGGGGTCCCTATGTTCTGAAAAGAACAAGGGCTCGCGCTGAGAAGAGCAAGAGACGATCTTCTAAGAACAGTAACAACACAAAGTAACAGTATAGCAATAAAACAATAACAGAAAAATTAAAAATAAAACAAACAAAGCAAAGCGCGCTCAAACCTCCCCGCCGGAGCGAGGGGGCAAGAACGATGCGAAAACAAAGTAACTCACCAACGGCGTCTGCTCGGCCGGTGTTAGCCGGGGAGAGCGGGGCACGCGGGCGAGAGGCTACACTCCGCACGAGGTCGGAGCACGAACTGTATGCACGACCGCTCGGGGGCGGTGCGCAGACGGAACCATCATTTGCGAATTGACAAACACATTATATAAGTCTATGGTTCGGTCTTAACCGGTCTTAACCGTAGACAGAGAACTGTCTACGGTCTACACAGTAATCTATGGTTCTGTCTATTTATTTGACTGATCTGATTTGACATTTATTGTTATTGCAATTAGCAAGTAAAAAGAAATTAAGTTCTCTTCTGTCTCCGAAAGTATTTTTGTAAGACAATCAATAATTTCCTATAACAATACGTTTTGTTTCATTACGATGATGAAATATACTGAATAGTATCATTTAAGAAACAGTTAAAGAACGAGAATAGAAATCGCCGCCATCTCTGTTTGTATTTATACTACTCGCATTTTAAAATGTCGGGCGATCACAAAACATTTTTGCAGGGTACTCCATCTCAGTATGTGAAATTAAATGTCGGCGGAACATTGTTTTATACAACCATAGGAACACTTACGAAAAGTGATAATATGTTACGAACCATGTTTAGTGGCAGGATGGAAGTACTTACTGATTCTGATGGTATAAACGCTAATACTTTTTTAATTGTATTTCTACTATTACATCTCATACCTATTTTTATGTAATATTTTTCCTTAGGTTGGATTTTGATTGATCGCTGTGGCAAACATTTTGGCACAATATTAAATTATTTACGTGATGGATCAGTGGCTTTGCCCGAGAGTTTCCGAGAGACTACGGAGCTTCTAGCTGAGGCCAAGTACTTCCTTATTGAAGAACTTAGTGAAGCATGTCATCAGGCCTTGAATAAAAAGGAAAGAGATGCTGAACCAATTTGTAGAGTTCCTTTGATTACCTCACAACGGGAGGAGCAATTGCTGATTATGTCAACATCTAAGGTATAAAATTCGAATTTGAATGAATTACTTAACAAAATACTTAGAATCATTGATTAATATTAATTATATCTACATGTCTAAAACTATTATCATTTAGTAAAGAGAAATAGATTACTTAAATTGACATCTTTTTACAAGTTATTCCTATAATGTGCTGTATATACTTATAGTAGAATGTCAGTATCTTCATTAAATCGTAATCCTCAGTAAAGTGAATAAAATTGCCATTGCCTTCCGCTAAATCCATAAATATGGTGTATCTCGATTTTTTTAGACTGTAACTCAAATAAAATATTATTTATCTGTGAGGTTCCTTGTGACACAAATTGCATTAATGATTAAACGAACTTACCTTAAGTGAAATTCTATCATATTTATACAAGGTGCTTCATCCTCTAGATAAGTAACTGGAACTTATTAAACACATGTAGTATCAAGTCTAGGATTCCCCACTGGCACTGGTTGAAAATATAAAAATTTAAAACACCCCTTTCCCCTTCTTCCTCCAGTCATTGGAGTGGGGAGAACATTACTGCTGACCATCCATAGATTCTGCCAGGGGTATTGAAAGTCTTCAGTAGCTTGCTTTCACATTGATACAAGTGCCATCTCACAGTCAGTAAGAGCACTATTTTCTCTATGAATTTAA